ATTAATTAATTATATGAAACAATTTTAAACTTGAATTTTATTATAATGTAAGAATACACTTATTTGTAACATTTCGCTTCTATTTTAACTTTTATTCAATGAATTATTTTTTACCTATACATTGACGTATATACTTCTATATCAATTCCTTGTTTAACTGAGAGGTATGTATAAGTATGTATAATTAATACATTATTATGGTCATTGGTCAATGGTTTTTTTTTCAGATAATATATGAATATTAATATGATTGTGGCCCTGTTMAAATATGATTACTCTTACCAGAAATCATTTTTTTAGGATTAAATATTTAAACCAAATTTTAAAGTAAAATAAAATGAAGATCTTATGATATTGAATATTATTTTGGTATTAATCCTTAGTATGAAAATAATCCAACTTCTTAAAATAAAATAAAAATATCATCTCAGGTATAACACGTTTGATTTATCTACAAACAGGTTAAAAATAGGGAACTTAAGTGCTCACATGATTGTGGCACACCAAATTTAATTTAAAACTTCACTATTATAATGAAAATCTATAGCAGACTTTTTCGTGATGCAATTAAAAATGTTCATTTTTATTTTAGAAAGATCGTGTTACCACGTGTTCCAYAGTATGTGAGTAATTTTATTATAATTCCCAATAAAACACGCATTAGTAAAAATATTATACTATAGTTGGCAATATAAATAATACGTTTATCCAACTAGAAACTCAATTTTTGGATTTACTTGATATGAATAATTAATATCGTATATAAAATAGTTTAAACTTGATTAGACTACAATTTCAAAATGCACCATATTTTTTGTAAATCAAATGCACGCTTCATATGTATACTTATACTCAATTCACCATACAGCAGATGTTTCATTTATATTTTTTATTAATCTMTAGTAATTTAGTGATTGCATAATCTTAAACCCGCTGACCTTCGTGTTACAAACGTTCACCAATACCTCAGCAGCCAACCAGTCCGCGTTACCGGCATTAGGTTTATTGCTGTATTGCTCGGCGACGGAATCATACACAATTTTCATTTGATTAACTACGGTAATTCGTTATTTAACCGGCTTTCAATTAAATAAAGTTTTTGGTTTGTTTTTAATTGTTTTCTAATAAAATATGAGTGTTTGAAACAAGATGAGTATTTTATCATAAATATTAAACAGTGCCCAATGTAATTAAAGCAGGTAATTATTTTCAAATTTTAAAATCAAGTGCTTTTTTTACTTTAGCGAATATAATGTATTTAGTTAAGCTGTTTTGTTTTATTTTAATTGATGTAATAATGGTGTGATAAAATATTACGCTAACAAACTTTTTTTGTATTTTGTAAGCATTTTACATTTATGCTCATAAAACAGTAAACACCTACATACTGTAATTATCAAAATATAATTATTCAATATTATACTAATAAAACAARTTGTTTGTTTTTATAATTGCATGAAGCTAATAATAATATATCTTCGTTGACGAGAAAAAACCTCCTAGTATCAAATTTATAATTTTAAGGTTTTGGTACTTCTGGATTCAGAAAAAAAAGTTATTTATGGATAAAATCTCTTATGTGCTACGTGCTACCTGCATACTAAAATTTATGAAAAATGCCGATATCATTTTTACTTTGTGTTAAAAATTATTATCTACAATAAATCGTTTATGAAATAACTCCTATGTGATTTTTGTACTTACAACTTTTTCGTGTTTTTCAACAACGATTTATGAAATAAAAAATATATGATACAATTTTGTACCACACAATGCTTATATATTTTATTATTTATCTATTTTAACTTAATTGCTAGCAAATACCTTTTTAAATTTAATAATATACTAATGCTATTAAATTCAATAAAATACTAGAATTTATTGCATGAAAACATTATAGGCTATTATTAAAAATATGGGAAACTATGATATTTTTAAGCAAATTATTTATCAAAACTGTTTATTTTTTTTGCATATTTTCATAMAATATATAAATACATAATAATTATGTTTACTTTATTATATTATGTATTCTTATTATGTTAGGAAAATTGCTTTTTTGATATAAAATATTTGGAGAACTGGATAAAATGGAAGAGTGGTTGAAAATAACCCTATGTGTAAGTTTGTTTGCAAGTTTTCGGGACTTTCGACCAGTGGATTCATTTTATACATCATATTTAACCAGTCCAGCTGTAAATTTTACTGCTGAGCAAGTAAGTTTTAATATAACTTATGCTTTATTATTTTTACAATAACAATAATTGTGGCCTTAAAACACACTGTTTTTACTTAATAAAATATTAGTTTTTCATTTTAATATTGTAATAAAAGTTAAAACATCTAAGTATAATTTTATTGAAATTAATACGCTGTTATAAACTAATTCATTATTTTTACAATAATTTTCTGAGCTTAGCTATTATTTGTTTTTGTTGTAATTTATTATTAAAAAAGCGGGAAAGTGGGTATCGCTCTGCTGTACATTAGGTGGTGGGGTGGACCTCTGACTAGGGTAGGTTWGATTTGAATGCAATGATAGGTATCATTGTACCTATACGAAAAATGATTCTAATTACGGAGATGATTTGTCAGTCTAGGATATATTCTATTTTGAAACAAATATTTTATTTTTCAATTAAGACGCATTTTGCATAAGGCATGGTTAATMAATTTTYMCRAAAACATYGCATGTAGTTATCATAATTCATAATACCTTATATTATCATAGATATACATCGTTATCATTACGCGATTTCTTAAACATTGAAAGCTCAAACACTCAAAACATTTTTGTTATAATGACGCTTCAAATTTTCTCTATATCTATTTGAAGCAAAACTTATGGAAAACTTAGTGTTGAATATTATAACCTTAGATATAAATACAAACAATATTATGAATTTTGAACTACAAAATAATTTTCAAATATTCATGTTTTTGACAAATGTTTGTCAATATTTGAAATTCAAATGCTAATAAAAATTTAATTTGAATTCCCGATGGACATTTTTTTTGTGATACAGATTGAAAAATGTGTAAGGAATCTTGTATTAAATTTTCAAATCTTAGATTTAAAAAGAAAATTATTTATGAATTTCTAGCTTAAAACAATTTGCGAATTTTTGTGATTTTTACGTATTTTGTCAAAATTCAAAATTTGAAGGCTTATAAAAAAAAAAAAAATCGTGACTATGTATTTATTTTATTTTTCAACTGCTATTGTAACAATATGTTGAGAGCTTTGTAAAATTTTCAAGATTTTCTACCCAAAAAATAAATTTTTATCGATATTAATTTAAAAAAAACTAATAATTATCGAAAATTGCATATACCTATGAATAGTTTAACTTAAGTCAAACATTTTTGAAAATTTTATGGTGGATAGAATATACTTATATAAACATTCAGTGAAAATTTCATGAATCAATGGTCATTTATTTAAATGTTACATCAAAAATCAAAATCGATTTTGTCGAAAACTGATTGTACCAAAAATTTCCTGTTTTTCCCTTAATTTTTAGTTTGTTTATCCCGATTATTCAGAAAAATATTAAGAATTTTTTACTTTTGACCCCCAACGTACCAAATGGATTCACTTTCTGRTCGAATAAGGTACTGAAGTCAAAAATCGAAGCTCTTTTACTGCCCCAAAACGTGATGACGGACACCAAAAAAAAATATTCWTGGTTTTKAGAAATTKTTGTCAATTTTTGAACTTCAAATGCTAATAAAAATTGTGCCTATGTATTCTTATAATTTTTTAGTCACTATAAGACTAACTTATGAGAAACTCTGTATTAAATTTTCAAGTATTTTGATATGATAGATTCCTTGATACTCGGAGGGTGCTTATAGCTTAATTTCCAAGCCGCATAGATAGCTAAAAAGGTTAAACTTGAATTTTTTCAGCTAAAATAAAGAACATTTTTTCTCGTTTTTTAAAAATGTTTTCCGTTGGATACATATTTTATTACCTAATAATATGTATTAGTATTAGTAAACATATTTCATACATTATATATATATATATTTTAAACTCATATTTATGCACGTAAAATGACAGGTAGAACATTTACTAGTATATAATAATGTAGTGTTATTATACTATAAATTATAATGTACATTGTAAGTTATATTTTTATTTTATAATAGTAATTTATCTTTTTAAGTGTATAAACATTAATACGGAACAATTCACAAGTTAATGTTTTAAGAAAATACTTTTGCATCTGGTAGATATTGATAAATCATCATAATACAATGAACACTTTTTTTTCTTTTAGGTAACCGAAGATATTTATCCAATAAATTCGTATGCAACTACAAGTCTTGTAATTATAATGTTTCTTATCACAGACTTTGTTCTATATAAACCAATTGTGATGCTGGATGCTTTAAGTTCAATCGTGATGTTTTTATTAGTTTTGGAACCTGTAACTCTCTTCAAATCAAAAGTAAGTTTTGAAATCATATAGGCTATGAATGCACATTAAACCAAAGTAAGTTATTGTAACTCAATAAGAAGTTATAGTGTTATACGTAATGTTAATTATATAATAATTTTCATAATAATCAAGGTTTCTCTTTTTGTTTTTATAATTATATATTTTAGACAATGAGACATTATATGTATACATATTGATACTATGCGACATTTGTTAATTGCATACTAGCTCTATACACATTCATGTTAATAATAATTAAAGTATTTTGAAAAATTTAAAAATAGTTTTGTTATAAAAATGATTAAATATATTCATATTATATATTTTTAGCTAAGTATGTTATTTTTGGGTCTAACGTCTGCATCTGAACTAGCATACATGTCATATGCGTATGCAAAAATTCGTGACCGCAGGATATACCAGAAAATGACTGGAATCGTTAGAGGCTCAAATCTTTTGGGAAAGTGTTTATCTTCCACATTTGCTCAAATTGTAGTTTCATGTTTGCACATTGAATATGGGTTACTCGTGTATATTTCATTAACTGGTAAGACATGTATATAATTTAGTATTACCTAACTCATTTAATTATGATTAAAATTTAGTTATTAACTTTAATATTGTATTTTAGGTTCGATTGTAGCATTTGCTGTTACATTTTTTCTTCCTCCGGTAAAATCAAGTATTTATTTTCATCCTGAAATCCCAAAAACKRCGAATTCTAAAGACAATTATAATACGTTCCATAATCAATATCATAAAGTAATTATTTATATTTGAATTATTAAATTATTGTTTTTATTTAGAATAATACAATATAGGTCAGTTACAAGTTACAACTTTTAAACACATCCGATATAATATTTAACATATAATTTTAGTACTTTAAGCGCACTCTAGGTTCAAACTCTACAGCTAAGTCCTTAGATCCTTTTACACTGCCACAAGATCGCATTATACAATCGTGTGTGAGTAATAAAGTTGACGATTTAGAGTTTTTGTAGTTGAATTGAAATAAATATGTGATTATCAAAAATAGGAGAGAAATGAAATCTCATTAACAAGTTTTTATAGGATAATAATTTATAATGTTATTATTGGTGCATAGTTAAACATAAAAATCATGTTATCAATATTACGATATAATATTGTGTATTCCTGTCCTTATAAACAGTTAATGAGACTAATGTTTTAAGAAAAATATAGTTTCATTGGTTGGTTGTTTTATTCTTAGTAGCTCTTCCATTATTCTATAGTGTAGTGGAATATTTTCTATTTAAAACTACATAAATAGTTACCCTRATATATTATTTTCCTAACCAAATGTTTCTTAAATCAATAGGTACTTAAAAAAAAAAAGTTTTAAAGTACAATGTTGCAAGGGTAGTATTTTAAATTATGTACAAGTTATTCTACCTATTCATAATATGTGTAGGTGTATAATCGACTAATATCACTAAGATCAAAAATGTTATGTTATAGAACAATAGTTTTTATTACACAGTACCTATCTCTAGGTACAAATAAAAATACAAGACAAATCACAATAATCAAACAACTTTATCAGTTGATTGGGTCATGCCAATTATTTATTCGTATAAATCGATTTTATCATGAGAACATTCGTGCAGATGTTAGGCTTTTTAGTTCATCACCCCTATTCATAAATTTGTCAATGGTTGAGTCCTTATCGAAACAAAATACCATAAAACTTCCATTGGACCCTTAAAWGCCAACATAAACTAACGATTGAGATTTCATCTTTTACGTGTATCTCCATGAAATGAATAAAATCGAATAATAAAAACAAATCTTTGACACCCAATCCATTCTCTCCTCATCTATTGTTTCAATTATTACCTCACTGATATAGGTACTTCTTTAACCAGGCTGATTTAAAAGTTTAATTTATTTGTAATATATTTTATATCATTTTATGTACCATCATTGTAAGGATATAATTGTCGAAACTAATTGCTAAGAAAGTTTCCTCGAAATAAAAAAAAAAAATGCAACTCAATGTACATACCACACTACCCTACCACTTTATATTATACAGAGTGGGCCCGTAAAACGGAAAAATTTGAAAGTTAAGTTAGATGCACTGGGAATTATTTAAAAACGTGGTAGTGTTATCAATAAATTCATAGGTACTTGCTATTTAGTAAACATGGATCAGTGGAACGGTTCGCAACGCGCTATTGCCGTAAAGGCGTATTACAAAAATAGCGACAGTCTCTTTGGTAATCAAATCATCTCGTGGTTCGGCGACATTCAATGGCCCCCAAGGTCACCTGATTTGTCGGCATGTGACTTTTTCTTGTGAGGCCATCTAAAAAACAAAGTGTACAGCACTCGACCATCAACACTTCTCCAGTTGAAGAAAAGAATTCAAGAAGAAATTGCTTTAATTCCCATAGATATGTTACAAAGAGTCATGCAAAACCTCCATACACGATTCCAGGAATGTATACAGAGGAAAGGACACCATCTTACTGAGATYATTTTCCGAACTTGATATTCTAGTGTTTTGAACTTAAAATGGCATATTATGTACTCTATGTTTTTAATAATAAATATTTAAAAAAAGTTTTTTAAACGTCTGTGAGAGTTATTTTACATTTTTCCGTTTCTCAGGCCCACCCTGTATGTATTTAGCCAAAATAAGATAATTTTAATCGAATTGGTAAAAAATAAATGAAAATGATTTGAGCATTTGTAAATTTGATATTTTCTGAATATTAAATGTTATTTGTGTATGCAGATAATATATATATATATATATATATATATATTAGGGTGGCACTCATTTGTATGTAATTTTTTTTTATATTTATTTAATATGTCATATTATGTTTAATATAAATATAATTTACGTTTAGAAATTATTACTGTTATAAATAAATAGACGGTTTTGCTAGCTCCCGGATTTGTTATTTTATCGTTCAAGGTTTGAATTTCAGAGTTTTGAATTATTAGTACAACTCATAATATTGTTGAATTATGTTTTAGACATTCATTCTAAAATTAATATTACGAAATTACCTTATGGTGGTTGTTTGAAGGTTTTTTCTTAAGAGAATCAAAATAAGGGGAAAAAGTCATTTTCCATCGTTTCTTCAGTTTATTTGTAACGAGTTAATATATATAATAAATAATCCGTCAATTAAAACTTTACCAGGAAACAAAAGASTGCTTGTCGATGATAGTAATTATTTCCAAAAAGCTTTCATCCCATAGTTGTAGTTTTGACATTTATTAATTAAATTACCCATCACAAGCGAGATTTTCTTTTCGTGTTTGTGTTAAGACTATAAAGAAAATATAACGGATAACTTAAAGTGTACGTTTTGATGAATTGTCGTTTATAATTATTTTAAAACGATTAATATTWTCTTATATATTTGTTCACAATGTGACCAGGTTATCGCAACATGGTAAATTTTGACCAGAAATTAGGTCCATACTTATCTATTTTCTTTGATGATATTAAAACAATAATTATAATTGTATTTGGCACAGGACCTTGAACAGTGTTTTGTTGAAAAATCTCCAAAGCCCGTTCGAGTAGTATTTAATCAGCTGTACTCAGAATTGAAGGATGCGTACACCAATCCGTATCTACTCAAWTACGGCATATGGTTTGCCTTYGCCTCCGGAGTCTATTTCCAGGTGATTTAAGTATTGTAATTTTTTCTTAAGTACAATCTAGAACCAATTATCTATCAGAAACCACCTTAATGTAGAATATTWTAACATTTATAGTTTAAAGTGCTCCTAATGATATTACGCCASATAAAAAAACAAAGCATTATCTCTATAGCATATTACTCCTATTTCATTTTTGTAGAGACTTTTAATTATTCTTCTATCTGAGTTTGCAATCTCTGATTTCCATGTTTTCCATTTTTCGTTATCAAAGGCTTTCTCTAAGTCTATAAAGGCTATGAAAGTTGGTTTGCTTTTCCTATTTTGTTTCTCAATAACTTGCTTTAGTGCAAGTATAGCTTCCCTTGTGSCTCTTTGCCTTCTAAAGCCAAACTGGTCTTCGGTTAACAGGCAGTCTACAGTGTKTTCTATTCGTCTCAACACAATAATACGTGTAAGAGTTTTTGAAGTATGAGAAAGCAATCTCAATTTTCTATACTGTTCACATGTATTTGCTATTGCCTTTTTGGGTATTGGCACTATTATGCATTTTGTACAATATTGGGGTATTTTCCCAGTTTCATAGATTCTATAGACTAATTCATATAGCATGTTCTTGACATTTTCTCCGCTGTTTTTAATAAATTCTGCTGGTATTTCGTCTACCCCTGGAGCCTTCCTATCCTTTAACTCATTTAAAGCTTTTTCGAATTCATCCATCATTATGGTTCGGTCTTCATTTACTGTGTAGATCGATTAGATCTACTTCTTCTTCTTCTAATTGTATAWCTGAATCTTCTTCCTCTCCGTATAGGTGTTCCAGGTATTTTTTTCCATCGATTTGTTGTTTCCTATTCTTCAAACAGAATTTCACCATTTTCACCTTTGATACATGTCAATTTTATTTTSCTGTCTCCGAAAAAAGTTTTTAATATTCCATATGCTTTGACCATTTGCCCTGATTTYAGCTATATATTAAATTCTGTACAAATACTATCCAAAAATGCCTCCTTACTTTTCCTACATTCTCTGTTAATCTCATTTCTTAAACTGGTCGGTCACATTCTTATATTTCTTTCTTTCATTTATCATTTTTACTATGTTGTCACTTATCCATTCTTTTTTAGCGGCTGTTTTCCTTTCTCCCAATAACTCTTCTGCTGGCTTTAATAGGCACTGTTTTATGTGTTCCCATCTATTATCCACATCGCTGATTTCTCGTATCATGTTGTACGGTGCAACACGATTGCGGACTCTTTACCTTTTTACCTGAAAAAAACATAACACGATTGCGGACTTTTTACCTTTTTATATTTGAGAAAAAAACAACACGATTGCGCACCTTAAATATTTTTTCTTTGAGCAAATACAAATATTTAAATAAATTTACCAACATTAATAATAACTTAATACGTATACCTATAGTAAAAAAAAACTCTTATAATATATTACAGTAATTACGCGTCATTATCCATCAGATGTGAATACTCGTACGTTGGAAAAGCACAGCCACTAACATTTATCAGTTATTATCGGTTATTAGA